CTGAATCCCTGGGGTCCCCAGCTCCATCCCGCGCCTGCTGCACCCTGACCTGTGTGTGGACAAAGCCAGGAGCAGGCTGGAAAAGGGGCTTGGACAAAAACCAACGGGATGGGAGCCACTCACTAGCAGTTTCCTCCGGTGCTTCCTCAAGTCGCTGGGCTGATTGCAAGGGGGAAAGCGAGAGAGACACAGAAAGGGGGGCAGTTAATGGAGAAACCCCCCCACAGAGCAGTCCCGGGGCCAGGCGTGCCAGGCTGGGAGACAGCAAACATGGGCACCCCCGTTCCACATCACCCTCCCGCACACCCGTGCGGGCGCCGGGGCATTGCTCCCACCCCAGACAGCCACGCGCACGCCCTGTCCAGCCCCCCTTCCACCCCGTGTGCCTCCTCACCAACGTCATGATCCCCATGCGGTCGAGGTCCTGAGCGGCGCTACGGGAGGAGAGCTTGGGGGTGGAGCGGCCGCTGAGTGGTGGGGAGGAGCTGGCCAGGGACAGGGCCGTCAGCGAGGTGGGGATGGAAGCCCTTTTGCAGAGCTGGGTGAGGTTGAGGCCCTCCATGCTGCCGCTCGTGACGCGGGTCTCCAGCTCCTCCGCGCGGAGCTCGGTGGACTCCTTCTCCTCTTGGATCATCCTGGGGGAGCAGTGGGGGTCAGGTCTCCCAGCTCCCCACCTTTCTGGGGAGTCATCTCACACCTCCCAGCCATAAGATCTCCCTGCCCTGGGCAAATATCCCTTGGGTGCTGTGACTCAAACCCCAATCTCCAGAAATGGCAGCAAGATCCAGCAGGATCCACACAAACCGGAGCTGAGACACACCATGGTTTCTTTTAATATTCATGGAGGACTTTTTAAAAAATAATTATCATTTCTGGGGCAGCTGAGGGACAGGGAGCCATGTGCAGGAAGGGCCAAGCCCTGTGGCTGGATGTCCTGAAGCCATTTCCCTGGCTGAAGCTGGACCATGACCTCAATTTTAGGGCATCAGAGCCTCCTCCCACTGCCTGGCAGTCTGTTGCCTCCTCCCAGCACCATTTCAGAGCTAGACAGTGGTGGGTTTTGGCCATGGTCGCTACCTGATCTCCTCGTTGATGGCATCCAGTTGCTCCTGGAGCATCATGGCCAACGTCTGGGCATCTGAATGCCCACCGGGTGAGAGCACGTCCATGGAGCTGAAGAGCGTTTCACGGTCATCCTCATCCACATCTGAGATCTCGGGGTCGCTGTCGAAGGCGTGAGGCCCTGTGGCCAGGACGCTGCCTGCCTGGGCCTGCTCCCAGTCCTGGGTGAAAAAGGTCCACTGGTCCTACACGGCACCCCCATGTCTCCAAAAGCCAAACTGAAGACCTCCACGCAACAGTCACACCTTGATGTAACCCCACTGGGAAAATCTTCCTACCATGTCACCCCCATCCACGCACCAGGTGAAGGAAATTGCCCCATGTCCCCAAACCAAGGACACATGAGACCAGTGTGTACGGCAGGAGAAGACCCCAACCCCAACTCTGACCCCATGCTGGCGTGAAGATGGATTACCTTGGCTGGCTCCTCCCGTCGGGTGGCAAATCGGCCCTTCTGCGCCCGAGGCAGGCCCGGGGCTGTCCCGAAGGGCTCGGCGGGGGCATGGACCACAGCGCTCAGTGGGAAGCGCAGGTCCGTGGAGCTGCCCATGTGGGACCTGGGAAGAAAGGGCCCTGTTGCAGACATCACGCTGTGCAAGGATGCCCTCATTCCCAGGCTGCTCTCCTTGCAGCCCAGGCTTGCTGTGGACA